CCATGATGTCGCGCCGATGTTCAGACACCCCCAAACATCCCAAAACCCGAAACCCCAAACCCTTTTTTACCCTAAACCCTAAACCCTAAACCCTAAACCCTAAACCCCACAAATCCCTGCGCACATCCGAGAGCCGCCTCAGGTCCAGGAGCCGGACGGCGCTCCACTTAGCACTCGTCCCACCTCAATTTGCTTGGCGTTTAGGGGGCCTTAGGGTTTAGGGGGCCTTAGGGTTTAGGGTTTGGGGTTTAGGATTTAGGGTTTAGGGTTTAGGGTTAGTAAGGAATGAGGGAATGAAACTCGTCCCACCTCAACTTGAGGGCCATCTCAGTACTTGGCAGCCCAGTAACCATATCATGACAAGGGTACCCTTTTTGTAGGCTTTGGGTTTAGGGTTTAGGGTTTACGGTGTAGGGTGTAGGGTTTAGGGTGACCACCATATTACAATAAGGGCACCCTTTCTTGGGTTGGTTACGTTAAACGGGAACCTTGAACCACAAAAGGAAAAGGGTACCGCTGGGCTACCAAGAATATGAGGCCTTTGCTTTCTTGCTCTTGCTTTAAAGGGCTTTGGCAATTTTGCCCGTGCAGGATTAGGAGTTGTCCTGACGCTCCGCTGACCAATTTCGTCGAGCACTTTGTGACGGTCTACTGAGACTACTGTGCATGGCCACGTGCACGGACTTGCGGACTTCGAGTTCAAACCGGAAAATCCTTGATGCTGCTGCAAGACCTCATGCCAAGCTGAAACTCACGGAGCCTGAAGACCTTCGCACTCATGACTCGCACCTCCCTAAACCCTAAACCTAAACCCTAAACCCTTGTGATAAACCCTAAACCGACATTCAAGCAAAAGCCTGAAATACCAGCTACCATCTCATCACAACCACCGGGGGGACTTACCATGAAGGCCTTCCGGCCGTCCTTCGAAAGGAAGGCACTCTAAACTCTGCAGCCCTTAACCGGAAAGCCCCTAAACCCGAAACCCGAAACCCGAAACCCTAAACCCTAAACCCTAAACCTTAAACCCCAAACCCTAAACCAAAATTGGGGTGAGCTAGGCTGCTATGGCCCAGTTGAGCAAGCCAGCGGTCCTGAGTGAGGCTTTCAAGGCCAAGGATGGGGTTCAGTCTGCAGGGCTGACCGCCCTAGGGTTTAGGGTTTAGGGTTTAGGGTTTAGGGTTTAGTTTTTTTTTGCCACCCGCTTAGCTGACCTCTCGGACACTCTGCAGGGTTTAGTTTAGGGTTTAGGGTTTAGGGTTTAGGGTTTAGGGTTTAGGGTTTAGGGTTTAGGGTTTAGGGTTTAGGGTTTAGGGTTTAGGGTTTAGGGTTTAGGGTTTAGGGTTTAGGGTTTAGGGTTTAGGGTTTAGGGTTAGGTTTAGGGTTTAGGGTTTAGGGTTTAGGGTTTAGGGTTTAGGGTTTAGGGTTTAGGGTTTAGGGTTTAGGGTTTAGGGTTTAGGGTTTAGGGTTTAGGGTTTAGGGTTTTAAATGCCCCCCCCGGCCCCATCCTCCTGATACTGAACATGTTCAATGCTACATTGTAGCAGGAGACATGCAGAAGTTTGGGGTAGCACAGCAAAATTGCAGGAAGGACTTGGGGTTCGGAGATGATTGCAGACATCCGCTGTTGGGCTATAAGGATTCAAAATGACGACGAGGTGTTTTTGCGAAGAACTCTTTTGGTAGCTGTCCTTGGGTGATGCAAAAGCAGGGCAACCTTCAAAACCCTAAACCCTAAACCCTAAACCCTAAACCCTAAACCCTAAACCCTAAACCCTAAATCCTAAACAAAACCCTGTGAAGTTTAGCACGGCTGTTGGACCTCGAAACCTCCACCTCCAAGCCCAACACCGACCATCGTGCAAGAGATGGTGAAGTCAGGGCCCTACACCTAAACCCTGAACCCTTTTTTTGAACCCGCGCGATGCAACTGCCTGAGGCGGGGAATAACCCTAAACCAACAAACGCGAAAAGCCCTACAACCCTAAGCCTAAACCCTTAACCCTTAACCCAAAACCCTAAACCCCCCAAACACTAAAAGCCCTGTAGGTGCTAGGAATATTCCTTGGGAGTTCGAGGTCCCCGCTGTAAGGTTGCACTGCACGAGGCGGAGGCCTTGGATGTTGCGCCTGAGGCTGCGAAGCGGTAGTTGGCAGCCATCAATATACCTGTAGAATAAAGACATATGTATGTAGAAATGTACATGCATGTAATAAATGTATATACTATATTATTATAGTATATAATAGTATGTAAGCATATATATATATATATATATATATATATACATAGCTATTCTGTGTAGCAAAGCAATAACAATAGTAGCAAAGCAAAAACATAACATAGAATGAACAATGATGATCCTCACCCCTCCTTCTCGTTTTTGGGCTGTCTTTCTGTTGTAGGGTGCAGTATGCATAAGTGGAAGTGGTAGTGGCAGGTTCGATGAGAACTCCCACCCAGACTGTTGTGCACGCCCGGTGCTCCTCGACAGTGCCCGCACAATGTCTGCACCCCGAGCCTGTTCCGATACCTTCAACGAGCACATCTGCTCGGTTTGACTTCTATGACCCACGACGACATGCCACCGCCTCCCACGCTCCGTCCCCGCGAGCACGACTACTGGCTTACACGCTCCTCCAAAAGAAGTTCGAGGTCGAGGTATGATCTCAAAAGACTCACAAGACAATGAATCAGCAAACGCACCAAACTGCTCGAGAATATAGCGGCTATCCAACCTAGTCGTGCTGTATTTCGAGGGGCGGGGGGGTGGGGGGGTGGTATGCCCGTCATGACTCCCCATGACCTCTGCTCCTGCTGAGATCAAGGCAGCTCGCGCAAGACTGTGCAGACCTGCGCAGGACGGCAGTCCCTGGGATAAACTTGGCTTCCTTATGCCATGACTCCATGTTGCTTGGCAAGGCCTTCAACTTTCTATGCTAACCAGCTAGTTCCATCCTCTGCAGGCACTCATACACCACGCAGACCATCATCCTTTCAGTTCGGGGCATATATATGCGCGCGTGCGCGTTGCCAGCTCATTGGAAACCTGCAGCAACCGCAATGGCAAATTTTCCGCGAACCTTCCACGCGCCATGCCCCATATTCATCGAATCCTCCTCCCGCCATGCCTCCAGTTCCACGTGTTGCTGCCTGTCGAAGATCAGGCCAAAGTTTTCCTGACGGTCTGGGGACAAGGAGTCGGGGTTCCAGAGGGGCTTAGGGTTTAAGGTTCCGGGTTACTGAATACAAGTTTTTCTCGTCCAGATGCAAGCGCCCGCATGAGTTCAAATCTGCTTGCAGGACCCTGTATTGTAGGCATACTTGCTACTTCTGAAATGTCCCTAAGGACCAGTATGTCAGCGGCGACGTTTGGAATTCCGGAGACTTAAGGGGAGGCTGTGGTGCGGTGACCCCAACACCTGAATCCTGTGCACGCCTCCTCGCACAAGGCATTCAAGGCACCGGCAGGGCAATTCATGGCATGTCAGCCGATGCAAGGAATGCCCCTAAACCCTAAACCTTCTTTGGATCCGGGCTATGATGTCCTGGGGCTGGAAACCCTAAACCCTAAACCGCAAGAAACAGCACTGTGCCACGATACAAGGCTCGCTTCCCGCCTCCCTGCAGACGCGCTGGGCAGGGGCCGGAGGCCTGCGCTAGCTCAGCCCAAGAACATGCTATCTATATGTATATATATATATATAGATATATATATATATATATGTGTAAACCTAAACCCTAAACCCTAACCCCTAAACCCCTAAACCCCTAAACCCCTAAACCCCTAAACCCCTAAACCCCTAAACCCCTAAATCTCTAAACCCCTAAACCCCTAAACCCCTAAACAGCTAAACCCCTAAACCCTAAAGCTCGCCTTCTGCGTGGCTTGCAGCTGCTATCCCTACACTATACCTAGGCCAAGGAATAAACAGGGCGCCCTTTGTGGTTTAAAGGGGCTTAGAAGGGAACTAAAGCCTTAACAACAGGGAATCAGGGCCTACTCTGTCTAACATGTAGACGATTCATTTGTATGTGGGTAAGCTTTTTAGGTAACGTGAACCCAGAGCCGCTTCACCCGCAACCCCTGCCGCCTGGCGCTTCTGGTGTTGCGGGCGCCTCCTGGCAGTCGGTGCAGGGTTAATGTCTCTACAAAAACTACCTGGCCCCACTCCCCCCCCCCCCCTCCCCCCTCCAATCCCACCCTCAAGCGCTTTTTGGAACATCAGGCTGTCTGAGGTCACGCCAAGCCCTGTTTCCTAAAACGGTCTGGTTCTTCATAGGGAATGAGGGACTGAGGGCCGGTATATCTAGGGTCCTAATTCCCTCATTCCCTCATTCCCTAAACCCTAAACCCTAAACCCTAAACCCTGAACCCTAAAACCCTAAAACCCTAAAACCCTAAACCCTTCGAAGAAGAAGAAGAATGCAGCCCATGGCCTGGGCTCTCAGAGCGCGCCTTGACGCTCGGCGAAGAGGCTGGGGCCTAACATCTGCTCGCATACTCAGAGTTTAGGGTTTAGGTTTTAGGGTTTAGGAGAGCCCCTTAGTTAAGGAATATACCCTAAATTAAAAGGGATCCTGAGTATGATTTAATTTAAGGTATATTCCTTATTTAAGGGGTATTGGGCTCTTTGGGTAAAAGCCTTTCAATCAGTTTGCCGACCACGAGATATGGGGGGTTTGTGATATTGGGGGGGGGGGGGGGTACCTTATTGGAGTCCCTTTTACAAGGATTCAATCACTTTCCGACTACGAGATAGAATGAGCTAGCTGAAATGACTGGCTAGTACAAGACTGTCGGCTTCCGGGATTCGATGCCACATTGAAACTCTCACGGGCTGCGCCCTGTCCAGTCCTTGCTGCTGGGGTTTAGGGTTTAGGGTTTAATTAGGGTTTAGGGGTCTTTGCTGCCACATGAACCCCAATCCCCGCACAGCCTCCTTGGCAGGGTGTATGATCCTCCCGAAAATGCTCCGTGATGGCTCGGAGGCCGTGACCTGCAGCAGCAGGTTTAGGGTTTAGGGTTTAGGGTTTAGGGTTCCCCCAAAAAAAACAACCATGAGCGTGCCTCCCAAGATCTTCAAAAGCCCGGTGGGCGTGGTTGCGAGTTCCAGGACGTCAATGGCTTACATCTGGGAGTTGAGAGTTTAGGGTGTCTTGGGATTCTGTAGCGATTACAGCATCACAGTTCAAACCTCACAGGTGCACTTTTCGGGTACATGCCCGCACCAGGACCAAACTCCACATCCTTCTAGCGTGCCTCAACAGGCTCGAAACCCTAAACCCTAAACCCTAAACCCTAAACCCTAAACCCTAAACCCTAAACCCTAAACCCCTCAAAGCTTTTCAGGCGCTTCGACCGCGCATCAAGCCAGGCCTGCGGCCTCCAGCCAGCAGACTCAACTGTTAAGAGCTGCCCGCATTCCCATCTGCCGCCAATAATTTAAGGTTTAGGGTTTAGGGTTATCTGCTGCCAATTGCTTGAGAACCCAAGAAGACAGATACTCTGCCTTGTAAGGGCATTACAGGGATTATTAGATATTTCATCTTTTTTGGAGGTTCTTAAGCACACAGTAGTCTGTGCCCTCCGACATCTGGAGTTGAAAAAACAAACTAGCCCGCAATCTAAAGCCAAAGTTCAAACCCTCCAAAGATACAAATGATATTATTTATGAATTAAAATATTAAGATCTCAGGAAAAGGAAAAGGAAGCTGCAGCTTTGTTGGGAAGGCGAGTCAAAGCCGGGCCAACCCTAAAGGTGGACGATGGCTTAATTGGCAGGATCGGGAACTCGAGGCGCAGCGTAGGAAATCCTTGGGCTGCCGGGTCTGAAGAGTTGGGGTTGGAGTAAGGCTTCGAGCGTAAAGACTCTCGTGCGCGGTTGAATGGGCTAGAGTGGCAATGAAACTGGGTCTTAAGGCAGAGGCAGGGACCCTAAACCCTAAACCCTAAACCCTAAACCCTAAACCCTCAACTGTGCTCGACGGAGTACGCAAGTCGAATAGACCTTCGTTCGAAGCTTCCGACCCATTGTCTCCTACGTCGAGATGATCTGACGTGCACGTCGAGTTTTGAGCTCTTCCATGTCCTTAGCCGGTCATGGGAACAGCCCAGTGCAGTCACGACGAGCAACTTGCCAACCCCTTAGCTAAAGACAGTATGAACATGCATGAACTGCTTTGAAACATCATCTGGACTAGTCTTGGCCCGCACAGTCGAGGGTCTTCGTTCCAACCAACTTCTTTGGAAAGCCAGCGGATGCTGGTGTCGCAGTCGCCCTGCAGGAACACCTCTTTTCCTCAGCTGGCTTGTCTCTGGTGCACTCGAGCCCAGAAAGCGGACTATTTGGTGCGACTCTCTGCAAATGGGCGCAAAGAAGGAACACAAATCTCACAGAACCATTGAATCCAGCCTTCCCAGCCAACTTTCCCTCTTTTTCCAACTCCAACAAACATTGCCGGAGAGGAACGTTGGAGTGTTCATCTTGTCAGTTTGTGGACGAGGCGAAGATGCAGTATGCAGTAGAACATGGTGTACGACAAATTACACTCTCTTTTTTCCAACATGCTTCTACCAGCATACTCGCCATGTGGGCAATGGTCTAAATTAGGGTCCCTTTTTGGGTACCTAAAAAAGTACGGCACCCTTCAAGTAAGGACCCCAAAAGGGACCCTAACTTAGAGAACCATGTGTGGCCTGTCCACTGCCCACTGGGCCGCTGCATGCTCGAGCACCCCAATGCTTGCATCTTCTTCCCCTGCACCCTGGAAGTCTAGACCCAAGAGTAACCTAGGAATAAACAAGGGGTTCCTTTTTGGCTTTAATAAAGGTGTAAAAGGGAACCTAAGCCCAACAAAAACAAAAGAGGAATAAGGGCCTCGTCTGGGTCCTAGAAGTAAGACTTAAAGGGGCTTAAAAGGGAACCTAAACCCTAAACCCCAAACCCTAAACCCTAGGGGGGGAATACGTGCCTCCTCTGCGTCCCCAGAAGTAACCACAGGCGAGTCACTCAGCTTCTTGCCGCTGAGGACCGTCTTGAGACCGCGGGCTTGACGATGCAAGCTGAGACTCCCAGGCATGACGCGACTTATCACCTTAGGGCTTGTTTTGGCATGCGCTCTCTGCATCACTTTAGGGTTTAGGGTTTAGGGTTTAGGGTTTAGGGCTTGGGGCTTGCGGCGCAAGGTTTAGGGTTCAGGGTTTAGGATGCACTTGTGATAAAACATCTCGGGCCAGCTTTTATAGTGAAAAAAACATGAGTGTGTGCTATGACACCACAGGCCAACCCGTTGCTACAGGATCGCGCCCTAGGCAATGTCCTCCTGTTCGGAGAAGTCTGGGTGCTGTAATAGGCAAGTACTACCAAACGTTTCCTCCTTCCCCCTAAACCCCTAGAACCTCTCAACCTCCAAACCCAGAGGCCGTACTTGGAGGTTCATGGGTACTTACAAGTGGGGATATAAACAGGGCAACTATGGGTACAACCTTATTCAGGGCGCTTCTAACCCCACTTACAAGTACCCATGAGCCTTCAAGTAACCCCCTAATCCTGAATCCCTCCACTCTCAACCTCCGAACCCTAAAGCACCCCCAAACCCCAAGCCCCAAACGCAACAAAACCCCTAAAGCCCCTAAAACCCCTAAATCCCCCAAATCCCACACCCTAATCTCCATGCCCAAGCCACGAGGATGGGGCAGCTCGACTTGACGTACTTGGGTAGCGAAGCAAAAGGCTGCACTTGGAGCGAGGTTCCTGCGTTGCCGGGTTTAGGGTTTAGGGTTTAAGGCCACGCTTGAAAAATGTTGGGCTCATGACAGCCCCACCCTAAACCCTGAGAAGTCACAGAAAATCCGCAACTGTATCCCGTCGAAACACAAAAACGTAAACCCTAAACCCCAAACCCTCAACTCCTTTCAGGCTGAGATCCTTAAACCCTTAACCCTGTGTGATCCCTTCAAGGGACAAAAGGAGGGACCCTTGTAAGGGACCTTAGGGGTCATTTGGGAGATATTTAGGGGCGACTCAGGTATATAGGGACATCCCTAGACTGACAGGGGACCACAAAAAGGCCCTAACCTTAAACCCTAAACACTAAACCCGAAACCCTAAACCCCTAATTCCTAAACCCTAAACCTTAAACCCCTAAAACGCCCCCAAACCCGGGGTCCCATGATGATGAGGAGATCGGCGGCCTTGAAGTCCTACTCACAGTTTTTTTTTTTTGGGGGGGGGGAGGGGGGGGGTGGAGGGTTTAAGGTTGAGGGGGTTTAGGGTTTTCGAGGTTTAGGGTTTATGTAGGGGTTTTGGGGTTTTGGGTTTGTTTTTTTCTTTTGGCGCCCGCATAGCTGCACGAACCACCCCGCAGGGATGCTTACCAGGTGGTTTAGGGTTTAGGGTTTAGGGTATTTCGTCCTTGCATCCACCCACAACCTCACCAATGTATGAAGACTCCAGCAGGACGAAGACCCTAACGTTGTTTAGGGTTCAGGGAATTTGTATAGGGTTTGGATCCCGATGACGTTCTATCCGAGTTTTGACCGACAGTTTTGACCGAAAGCTGCTGCTTTTGCTCCAAGGGGTCCTGGGGCGATGCAAAGCACAAGATGGCTTGAATGAATGTTTAGAAGTGAACAGGAATCTGGCCCATATGGTGAGTTCTCTAAATTAGGGCCGCTTTTTTGCGGTAACCCTAAACAAGAGGGGCCGCCTTATAATAAGCATCTCAACAAGGACCATCATTTAGACAAAGCAGCATATGCAGCATATGGCTTTATAGTATAGGTTTTAAACCAGTGTTGTAGTCGAGGTGTGGTCGGCTTTAGCAAGGTGGTTTGTGGAGAGTTGAACAGGACTGCATCGGTTTCTAATGGGGTTTACATGGGGCTTCTTTCTGGGGTTTAAGCGGCTTAGTAGAGTCTTAGCTTTAATCGTATTTTTATAGGGCTTTGGGGTTTGCGGGCTTCGGAATTAAGGTAGGGTTTTGTTCTCATCGCTCGCCACTTAGAGGCGGCTGTCGAGAGGGGGGCCATTGAAGGCGTTTCAGGGTTGCGGTCGGCGTCAAACGTTCGCCAGGCATCTGCGCGATGGCCCCCCCCCCCCACCCCACCCCAAGGCAATGATTGAACTCGAATTTCAAGCTTCAGAGTTTGGGCTCAAGCACAAGAAGCTTTACACTTTCCGACAGGGTTGAGCTAGGACAAGCCTCTCCTGGTAACATGTCCGCCCTGTGAAGCTTGAGTGGGCAACATGTTTGGCATGTGTGGACTTGAGGCGTGAGTACCAACCCTGAACCCTAGACCCTGAACCCTAAATGCCATCTGCCGGAGATGTGTACAGTTCTATCCGTCCTGATTGCTCTTCTCTTGGAACTTCTGGGGCAAAGCCTCTCCGAATAAAACAGTGTCCGGCCGCGTCAGCCCCGAACACTTCTCGCACCGTGGGACGCCCGTCTGCCGGTCCCATTCGAAGTAGTGATCTTAAGAGTAGGCCTGCCGGGGCACAATCAGTCCTAAGGCCATGAGACAAGTTAACCTTCTACCCGCATTTTCAGCCCAATCTTTGCCACACGGCCTTTTGGCATTCATGACATTTTGATTGGGCAGTCGTCCCATGGCACTCGATGAGAAGCTCGGGGTCAATGCCGGCTTTGCGTTCAAGGCTATCAATATTCCTCGGTCGAGGCACATGTTTGGACTTTGCGGGCGCCTGGTAAGCACACATGTATATGTGATATATATATATATATACACATACATATACACATATACAGATATACATATATACATACATACATACATACATACATACATACATACATACATACATACATACATACATACATACATACATACATACATACATACATACATACATACTTACATATATATATATATATATCTATATCTAGAGATATACATATATATATATATATATACATGCGCAGCCTAAACCACTATCGACGCCACATGATGTCAGGGACTTGGCATGATTCGCGG